TTGCTGTAATAAGCTTTTTTTTTTCTTTATGCAAATTTCCTCTGTAATATGCTGTCTTTTCTCATTTGACTTTGAGGTGAAATATGACCTGAACATTTTACTGACAGTTCACTCCTTTACAATACAAATATTTTTCATGTCTTGTTTTTTTAAGTAACTCAATGATAAAACAGAAACAAACTCAAGTGTTGTTATTGAGTAATGAGTTCCCTCAATATTAATTAACACCTACTTGATGACACTGAGATAAATGTTGAATGTAACCTGAATAGGGTTGCAAAGGGGTGGAAAATTTCTGGTAAATTTCCGGAAACTTTCCAACAATCCCTGGAAGATTCCAAAAAAAATCCTGGAAAGTTTCCAAAATTTCTGGAATGTTTCCGAAATCTACTGGAAATTTTCCACCTTTTTTCAACCCTAAACCTGAAGTTTGATAATTCCCTGACAGTGCTTGCAATGCTGAATAGAACTGTATTTTTGTGTGTTTGAGAGCAGATTCGAGGAGGAGAATGAGAGGCGTCTGGAACAGAATCAGCGCTGTCTCTTTAATAGTAATGCTGCCATGCAGTGGCTGGACATTCGGCTGCAGATGATCGGTGTCACTGTAGTAACCGGCATCAGCTTGATCGCTGTGATCCAGCATCAGCTCAAATCCATCGACCCAGGTTAGCCTCTTAATAAGATTAGTGTAAATTCACATGTAAGGCATTTATTAGCAGGTGCTCTTTAACAGAATCTTTAGCTTCATGTCAGACAGCTACGGTCAACAGAGCATTGAGAATGTTAACTATTGGGCAAATTATAAATTCAAATAATAGGTCTGTGCCGGATTGGTAACTCTTATTTCTGTATCTTAACTAATTTTCAAAGCAACATCTCATCTGAAATCATTTGAAAAACCATGTCTATTACGGTCTTGTGCAGACAGATTCACATGTTCTTTATTGGTCTATAATGGAACATTTACGAAACCCAACTATACTGCAGCACTATTGTCCAGTTTTAGAAGATCATCGTCCAGTTCAGCCGTAAGGCCTTCAAAATGGTTTACAGTTTGTGCTAAAATTGTGCTGAAATCTCTTCTATGTTCTGTCAGGGCTGGTGGGTCTGTCTCTGTCCTATGCACTGTCCATCACCAATCTGCTGTCAGGCCTGATTTTCAGCTTTGCGCAGACAGAGATGCAGTTGGTGAGCATAGAGCGTACAGAGGAGTATTCCACCAACATCCCGCAGGAGCCTCAAGAAGCCAGCACTGAGGTTAGAGGAGTGATATATTTACCCCAAAAACTGAATCAGGGCCAAGTGTGATTAAAGTTTCACAACCTTTTTTGGTAGAATATTTTAAAGGAATAGCTCACACAAAATTAAAAATTTACCCTCAGGCTGTCCAAGATGTAGATGAGTTTGTTTCTTCATTGGAACAGATTTGGAGAAATGTAGCATTGCATCACTTGCTCACCAATGGATCCTCTGCAGTGAATGGGTGCCATCAGAATGAGAGTCCAAACAGCTAAGAAAAAAATAACAATAATCCACAAGTAATTCACACCACTCCAGTCCATCAATGAATGTCTTCTGAAGCAAAAAGCTGCATGTTTGTAAGAAACAAATCCATTATTAAGATTTTTAACTTGCAAACTGTTGCATACAGCTAAATTATGAGTCCTCATATCCATAATATTGCTTTCTCCAGTTGAAGTTAAAAAGTTAAAAACATCTTGATGGATTTGATTATGAAAAACACGCAGCTTGTGGATTACTTGTAGATTATTGTGATGTTTTTGGACTCTCATTCTGACGGCACCCATTCCCTGCAGAGGATCCTTTGGTGAGCAAATGATGCAATGTAAAATTTCTCCAAATGTATTTCTTTGAAGAAACAAACTCATCTACATCTTGGATGCCTTAATGGCCTATTTATTTATTTCAAAATCTGAAGTATTGCTTGTATTTCTATAGCAAACCCCAGGTTGTGCGACCTTGTATATTATTCAGAATGTCATTAAAGTGTAACACAAAACCTTATCATGAAACTCTACATCTGCAGGTTCTAGAATCGTGGCCTGAAAAGGGCCGGGTTGAGTTTGTGGGTGCTGTGTTGGTGTACCGGCCGGGCTTGCCTAACGCTCTTGATGGGGTCAGCCTGGAGGTATTACCTGGTGAGAGGGTGGGCATTGTAGGGCGTACAGGCTCTGGGAAATCCTCATTGTTCCTCGCCCTTTTCCGTATGGTGGAGCTGAACCAGGGTCAAATCCTGCTGGATGGAGTCGACATCAGCTCGGTTAGACTTAGTAACCTGCGGTAAGGGTTAAGTCACTGTATGTTTGATGGTTTTCTTAGTAAGATCAATGTGTTTTTTTAATGCAGCCTTGGTCAGCATAAGAGACTTAAAAACATAAAAAAAATACAAACCACAAACTTTTAAAGGGGTCATATGATGCTGCTAAACAAAGAACATTATATGGTGTAATGAAATGTGCTTATGCGGTTTAAGGTTAAAAAAAAGACATTATTTTCCACATACTGTACATTATTGTTTCTCCTCTATGCCCACTGCTCAAAACTCGCGTTTGAATCATCAGTGGCAAATCCTTTAAATATGAAAACATTTCAAACAATATGACAACAACAGCATTATTTGTCAGAACACCAGCATTGTAGTCTACTCTACCAGGATCAGGAAACAGTCCTCTGTAAAATGTGTTGCTCACATCTAAATATTTGGGTTGAACTGTTCTGGAACAGTGTTGTAAATACAACTTAACCACTGATTTCTAGTCGTGTCCTCTTTTGGAAGACCAAACAAAGTAGTTTCGCTTTCATAACGAAACGCACAGCGTCTTCACGACATGGTGGCGGCGGCAACAATACTACGGCGAGAATAAAAGTTACACCTTCTTTCTTTGCGTGAACATTTGGGCGGCGTTATGCAAATCTTCCCACACAGTGACATAGACATGTGGGGACGTGTTTAAACGAGGCGTTTTAGGAGGGCGTGGACGAGTCTTAACTTTTATAAAGAATATCTCTTTGGGTTTGAGACTTTAGTCTTTGCAACTTTAGGGATCTTATCTATTCACGAACAGCTTGTAACACTCCAAAGAGAAAGGAAAACTTGAAATCGCATCATATGATGCCTTTAAACATTTCACATTATGTCAAAAAAAATCACTGGTAAGCAGAAGAACTGCAAATATTTCTTACGACAAAGACTTGTGAGGTAAAAAGTGTTCATTGTGTTTTTAATATGGTCTCTGCAAATAATAAGAATTTGTTATGTTTGGGTTGCCCTCTATAGATCAAAGCTGGCCATCATCCCTCAGGATCCCTTCCTGTTCTCCAGCACAGTGCGAGAGAACCTTGATCCCCATGGCCGTCATCCAGACTTCCGGTTGCTAGATGCCCTTGAGCAATGCCACCTGGGAGATGTAGTGCAGAGGATCGGTTAGAGTCAAACACTTTTGATTGTTGTGTCTTACTTGATAGGATTTATCTAGGGCATGAGAAAATGCTCTCTAATATTTTTTTTTTTGCTTTGTCTGTGTCTCCCATTACAGGTGGACTGGATTCGGAGGTTGGAGAGAGGGGAAAGTCTCTGTCTGTGGGCCAGAGGCAACTGCTGTGTCTTGCCCGTGCTCTTCTTACAGAGGCTAATGTATAAAACTAATGTAGAATTAAAGTACAACATAAACCATGTCAAACAAACAATCTTGACTTTGTACTTTAATGTTATTTATGTTTCAATAGATTTTATGCATTGATGAGGCCACAGCAAGCGTCGACCATAAAACTGACATGCTTCTGCAGAAAACTATCAGAGAAAAATTCAAAGATAAAACTGTTCTTACCATCGCCCACAGGTATCAAATTGCTTGTATACTTGCATATGGTTTATATTTGATTTTTCTTTTAATTGAACTTTGAGTATGGAATGAAAATAAAGAGGGAAAAATCCCTTTATAGCGATGCAAACTGATTTTCTTTTAAAAAACAATTGTAAACACAGTAACACTGCAAAGTGCACAGTTCTGTGAGGCATTTCTTAAATAAAACAGCAGATAGTTTTCACATTGTAAAAGAATATTTGCAACCATTTTATGATTGTTAATCCCCTTAAAATACTATAATTATCTCTGTTAACCCTTGTGCTGAACAGTCAAGCATTTAGGTAACATTAACATTACTAGTAAGTGCATGATTAGTTTTAAGAGAAGCTGCCGAAGAAAATGGCGAGTTCATCACTGCTTTGAAAGGTTAATAAATTCATATCATTAATTTAGTTTTCAGGGTTTATTTAGTTTTTGGGTGTCTTGTTGTTTGGTTGATAGAAATAAAAAAAACCTGGTAGTGACTACTTTTTGAATTAACGTAGCATGTTAAGTTAAAACACCTTTCAAGAACAATTCTGTTGCCATACAAACCCAACCAGTCTTTCTTATCCCACAGACTGAATACAATTATGGACTCTGACAGAGTGCTGGTGATGCATGCTGGGAAGGTGGTGGAGTTTGACAGCCCTGCTGCTCTGTGCCAAAGAGAAGACTCTGTTTTCCAGAAACTCTTGCGTGGTGGGGAAGATCGAGTTTAAAATACTGTATTTCCAGCTAAGAATGTAGAGTAGTTGGAGTCCTATGCATGGCCACTTGCATATGTGCAAATACCTGCAGTTTATCATGTTATACAATGTAAAACAATGTAAAACTCAGGGAAAATTGTTTGTTGTTTTAGAAACGGTCTCATTTGTATGGAATTGTTTTAGAAGTAAATGTGTTTTTTTTAAGTTATTGGTCTGTTTTCAGATTTGTATTTATTTTTATTTATTGGTCTTCAAGAGGATCTACTCAAAGTACTTTTTCTCTCTTCAAACAGGTAAAATGTGGGAGTCCCGCTAATATTTATTGTTCTAATATTTATTTCTGTGGTTTGAATGCATTCTCTCTTCCGAGAATTCACAATGCCTAATTGGTTTCATTAGAGGTGTGAACGCTTGTAATAAGCCGTCTCCACCCAGAACAACCTGAGTGAGAGTGACTACGCCTTGTACAGGTGGACGTTTTCCAACTTGTATGAGTCATATGGGTGTACATGTGTACATAGTTTAACCCTATTTTATAACCATTCCTTTTGATTTACTCCCATCAATCTAGAATTAGGGAGAGGTTTGTTTTTGTTATGTCACCCTGCCTCCAGTGCAGAACAGGCAGTGATGCTGAAGCTTTATGAGGTATTCGTTTGGCCTGGTTAAACCAGTTGGTCCACTCTTCAAGTGTATTACTTGCCGCAGTGAGAATACCATCAACAGTGAGAAGAGAACAGAGGTAAACACGGTCTCATCCAGTGAAAACTTGTCTTCAGCATGGCACATTATCACTGCTGACACTGAACAAGGATTTAAAAGCTCACTGGATACAAGGTAAGGCTTTTCTTTGCTGTTCAAATTTACAACAGTACTTTAGACTGAACTCTGTTGCGTAAAACAGCCCGTATGGTACTTAAAGTAAAGTTTGGTTGTTTAGCAAGCACAGGTGTCCAGCTGTTTTTGTTATGTATGACTATGCAGCACTCGCACATGTTATGCTGATTTAATTGTGTTTTTGCTGTCATTTAAGAGTGGTTTAATGTATTAATATTACAAACTGCACTTAAGTTGGGTATTAAAGTATTGCACAGGGACAGTTATAAGATATTTAAAGTTGTGAATTTGTACATTATCATTTCTTTGGGGACCACTTTTTCTAAATACTGTTACTGTCTATTACTCTGTATCAAAAATAATGTTTCTGAAGCCCACTTTTAGGTCCTCTACCTGTAATTTGTGTTTACTGTAAATATACAGGTTAATAGATCATATACTGTAGATGATAGTTAGTAATTAGATGTTTTTGTAACCTGTTTCAATGAAATGAGACAATTAAATCATTTTAATAAATAGTTGAGCAGATTATCAAAATATGTGCCCTTACAGATGATCATGGGTGCATCTGGTACCTCTACGATTTCGCATTTTTAATACAGAGGGTGTGGTTAACAAGGTGAGGTCTGTTCAGTTTCCTTTGTCTGGCCTAAACTCTTCCTAACGCCCTCTTGTTACACTATCCCTGAACAATTCCTTGGAATACCTCACAGTTTCATCAGTCTGCCAGTGGGATAAATGCAGATGTTTCATTAAGCATTAACGTCTTTAAGGATGAATTGCACACCAAGATAGATGCCCTTGTGTCAACTGGCAAAGTGTAAAGTACATTTAAAAGAAGTTAGTTTTGTTTGCTCAGTCTTGCTTGATTTTGAGGCAAGGGCTTTTTTCATTCAGTGATGTTCATAGTTGTTCAATGATGTTCACAATTACATGTGTCAATAATAATTAGCACTGAAACGTGGGTGTCTTGCTGCCGCTGAATCATTTCTTTTGCATCAACAGGTTTGAGATTTGGAGGCTTTTCTTCACTGTAAATATATACTAGTGAAATGGTATGATATCTTTATTTTATCCAATCTGAACTATATTTTGTGAACGCATTTTGTGTGATCTATCAAATATATTTTAAAGTTCATGTGCTTGCCATTATTAGGAATAAATGCTAAATAAATTATTAATTAAATATTAGTAGTGCAGTTGGCAGAGGTTTATGTTTATCAAAAAAATCTTTAATTTTTTTTTTTTTTTTCTATGCATGCATTTAATTTCAAGAAATATGAAAAATAAAATACACCATGATATTATCTTGTAACCTGCAGGCTCTTCGAAGAAGCCTCTCTGACAGCCTGCTACTTGAAGATGACAATGTGTCTGTAGAGGGTTTGGAATACACAGACCTGCACTTACATGAAGGTACAGTTTCGTGACTCTTTGAATATGATTTTTTTTTACATGTCATTGTATATTAATTGAGCCTTAGATTGCTGGTTCACTTTTACTGTGGAGAAAATGGCTTGCCATTAACACTGATATGGTGGAAATTTAAGGATAACTGTTTATAATAGAAAATTATAATAGCGTAAATAAATTTCACGCTACATTACATTTCCATTTAAGATGATGAAATTGTGGGTGCCAGTGGTCAGTTTGAACTAAAGAGGAATGAACAAAAGAAGAATGAAGCTGTGGACATTTTAAAGTTGATTGATAATGACAAGGGGATAACGAAGCATGGTATGAAATCCAGCAAGAGCTTGGAAAGCCTGGATATCAAAGCTCCAAATGAGGTCTGTGCACATCACATTGACATTTTTTTTTCTCATGAAACCCCCAAACAAATTAATTTATGATTCAAATGTTTCAACAGGTGTGGAAAGATTCATATGACAAGCTCTTCAATGCTAAAGTCAGGAAATTCATGAAAGGAAATAAAACTGTTAAGGAAAACAGACATGGCATACACAATGGGCCAGTGACAACCCAAACACTTGACCACAAAAGAGGTCAAGTAAATGTGTCGGCTTTACTTGAGAATGCAGATCGAATGCGTCTCACTCCATATGAAACAGAATTTGACAATCAAGTGGGGCCATTCATGGTCCATTATGATGCCAAGGATTCTACAGGTGAATATGACTCCGAAATGTTAGTACAAGGATCTGACCTGCTGAGATCAGCAAAGATCAAAACCAATATTTCAAGAGATGTTCCATCGCATCATTCCACAAAGAACTTGACCAGTGTTGATAGGGAAATCAACATACGTGGTGGAACATATACAGATCCAAAAATAGATGTTGGTATTAATGCACCAGATTCAAATCTTACACTGACAAATACCCAAGGATCTCCTGTGATGCACCTCACAAAAGGACATTTTAAAGGCCCAAAAGCAGTGCTTAATTCTTCTGATATGGATATGGATGTACCATCGGTTAATGTCAAGAAGACAAAATTTAAACTGCCAAAGTTTAGCCTCTCTGGAAACAAGAATACAGACATCAGTTATGATGGAAGTATGAAGGGGTCAAAACTGGCATACCCTGAAGTAGCTGCAGGTCTTAATGGTTCTGATATACAAATTGATGGACCAAAGGCTGATTTCAAAGGTCTAAAAACAGACCTTTCAGACATGGAAATGTCATCTGGAAAACTGAAAACGCCCACTTTCAGCATGCCTAATTTTGACCTGTCAGGACCCAAAATAAAAACACCTGACTATGATCTGTCCGCTCCCAAATTTAAGACCGACTTTGATTCACCAGACATCAACATCAGAGGTCATAAGCCAGATATCACAGGACCGGACATGGATGTTGATATTCCTGAAGGTACATATAAAGGACCAAATTTCAAGAAACCCAATCTTGACTTAAATGCACCTGATCTCGGCATAAATGTTCCTTCTGGTAACCTTAAACTGCCAAAAGTTGGCTTCTCTGGTAGCAAGCCAGAAGAACCTGATCTTAAAATCAAATCTCCAGACCTGAATCTCAAAAGCCCCAAAATTAAGGGAGGAATCGATACCCCAGACATGGACCTGACTCTGCCTCAAACTGATGTGAAAGGCCCGAACCTAGATATCAAATCACCTGATATTGATGTTAATGGCCAATCAGGCAAATTGAATACGCCAAAGTTAAAGATGCCCAGTTTTGGCCTGTCAGGTTTGAAGGGGCCACATATGAACATGGATGCTGACATTGATAAGCCAGACCTCAATCTGAGTGCATCAACTCTCAAACTAAATGCAGGGATAAACAGTCCTGATATTGACATTCATGGACCTAATGTTGATCTCAAAGGTCCACAAACAGATCTTACGCTTCCAGACATGGACATGCCATCTGGAAAAATGAAAAGGCCAACTTTCAAGATGCCTGATTTTGGTCTCTCAGGACCTAAAATGAAAAAGCCTGACTATGATGTGACTACTCCAGACATGGATCTTTCGGCCCCAAAGTTTAAGGCAGATTTTAATTCACCAGATGTCACGGCACCTGACATGAATGTTGATTTCCCTAAAGGTAAAATTCAAGGACCAAATTTGAAGACACCCAATATTAACATGAATGCACCTGACCTCGACATAAATGCTCCTTCGGGTAAACTGAAGCTGCCAAAATTTGACATCTCTGGTAAAAAAGCAGAAGGGCCAAATCTTAAAATCAAATCTCCAAACCTGAATCTCAAAAGCCCCAAAATAAAGGGAGGAATCGATACCCCAGACATGGATCTGACTCTGCCTCAAACTGATTTGAAAGGCCCGAACCTAGATATCAACTCACCTGATATTGATGTCAATGGCCCTTCAGGTAAATTTAATATGCCAAAGCTAAAGATGCCCAGTTTGGGCCTGTCAGGTTTGAAAGGGCCACATATGAACATGGATGTTGACATTGATCAGCCCGACCTTAATTTGAGCACATCAACTCCCAAACTAAATGCAGGGTTAAATAGTCCTGATATTGATGTACATGGACCTAATGTTGATATCAAAGGCCCGAAAACAGATCTTACACTTCCTGATATGAACATGCCATCTGGTAAAATGAAAGTTCCCACTTTCAAGAAGCCTGATTTTAGTCTCTCAGGACCCAAAATAAAGACTCCTGATTATGATCTAAAAACCCCTGAAATGGATCTGTCAGCTCCAGAGTTTAAGGCAGACTTTGATTCGCCAGATATCACAACCCCAGACTTGAATGTTGATATCCCTAAAGGGAAAATTAAAGGACCAAATTTCAAGAAACCCCATCTTGATGTGAATGCACCTGACCTTGACATAAATGCCCCTTCAGGTAAACTGAAACTGCCCAAGTTTGGTATCTCTGGTAGTAAGCCAAAAGGGCCTGATCTTAAAATCAAATCACCAGACCTGAATCTCAAATGCCCCAAATTTAAGGGAGGAATCAATACTCCAGACATGGATCTGACTCTGCCTCAAACAGATTTGAAAGGCCCAAACCTAGATATCAAATCACCTGATATTGATGTCAATGGCCCTTCTGGTAAATTGAATATGCCAAAGCTAAAAATGCCCAGTTTTGGCCTGTCAGGCTTGAAAGGGCCACATACGAAGATTGATGCTGACATTGATCAGCCCGACCTTAATCTGAGTGCAACAACTCCCAAACTTAATGCAGGGATAAATGGTCCAGATTTTGATATTCATGGACCTGATGCTGATTTCAATGGTCCAAAAACAGGCCTTGCGCTTCCAGACATAGACATGCCACCTGGAAAACTGAAAATGCCCACTTTCAAGATGCCTGATTTTGGTCTTTTAACATCAAAAATAAAGACACCTGAATATGATCTGAAGACTCCTGAAATGGATCTGTCAGCTCCGAAGTTTAAGGCAGACTTTGATTCCCCAGATCTCAACATTGGAGGTCATAAGCCAGATATCACAGCACCTGACATGAATGTTAATTTCCCAAAAGGAAAAATGAAAGGACCAAATTTCAAGAAACGCGATCTTGACATAAATGCACCTGATCTGAAGGGGAACATAAATTCCCCTTCAGCTAAACTGAAGCTGCCAAAATTTGGCTTCTCAAGTAGCAAGCCAAAACGGCCTGATCTTAAAATCAAATCTCCAAAGCTCAATCTCTCTAGCCCAAAAATGAAGGGAGGAATCAATACCCCAGACATGGATCTGACTCTGCCTAAAACAGATTTAAAAAGCCCGAATGTAGATATCAACTCACCTCATATTGATGTCAATGGCCCTTCAGGTAAATTTAATATGCCAAAGCTAAAGATGCCCAGTTTTGGCCAGTCAGGTTTAAAAGGGCCACATATGAATGTGGATGCTGACATTGACAGGCCTGACCTTAATCTAAGTGCATCAACTCCCAAACTAAATGCAGGGATAAATAGTCCTGATATTGACATTCATGGACCTAATGTTGATCTCAAAGGCCCGAAAACAGATCGTAAACTTCCAGACATGGACATGCCATCTGGAAAAATGAAAATGCCAACTTTCAAGATGCCTGATTTTGGTCTCTCAGGACCCAAAATAAAGACTACTGACTATGATCTGAAGACCCCAGAAATGGATCTTTCGGCTCCAAAGTTTAAGGCAGACTTTGATTCACCAGATATCACGGCACCTGACATGAATGTAGATTTCCCTAAAGGTAAAATTAAAGGACCCAATTTCAAGAAACCCAATCTTGATATGAATGCACCTGACCTTGACATCAGTTCCCCTTCAAGTAAACTGAAATTGCCCAAATTTGGTTTTTCTGGTAGTAAGCCAAATGGCCCAGATCTTAAAGTCAAATCTCCAGGCTTGAATCTCAAAAGCCCCAAAATAAAGGGAGGAATCGATACCCCAGACATGGATCTGAATCTGCCTCAAACTGATTTAAAAGGCCCGAACCTAGATATCAAATCACCTGATATTGATGTTAATGGTCAATCAGGTAAACTGAATATGCCAAAGCTAAAGGTGCCCAGTTTTGGCCTGTCAGGTTTGAAAGGGCCACATATGAACATGGATGCTGATATTGATAAGCGAGACCTCAATCTGAGTGCATCAACTCCCAAACTACATGCAGGGTTAAATAGTTCTGATATTGATGTACATGGACCTAATGTTGATCTCAAAGGCCCGAAAACAGATCTTACTTTTCCAGATATTGACAAGCCTTCTGGAAAAATGAAAATGCCCAATTTAAAGATGCCTAAGTTTGGTGTCTCAGGACCAAAAGTAAATACGCCTGGCTATGATTTGAAGACCCCTGAAATGGATCTGTCAGCTCCAAAATTTAAGGCAGACTTTGATTCTCCAGACCTAAATGTCAAAATCCCCAAAATAAAAGGAGGAATCGATACCCCAGACATGGATCTGACTCTGCCTCAAACTGATTTGAAAGGCCTAAACCTAGATGCCAAAACACCTGATATTGATATTAATGGCCCTTCAGGTAAATTTAATATGCCAAATCTAAAGATGCCCGGTTTTGGCCTGTCAGGTTTAAAAGGGCCAAATATGAATGTGAATGCTGACATTGATCAGCCCGACCTTAATTTGAGCGCATCAACTCCCAAACTACATGCAGGGTTAAACAGTCCTGATATTGATGTACATGGACCTAATGTTGATCTCAAAGGTCCGAGAACAGACCTTACTTTTCCAGATATTGACAAGCCTTCTGGAAAAATTAAAATGCCCAATTTAAAGATGCCTAAGTTTGGTGTCTCAGGACCAAAAGTAAAGATGCCTGACTATGATCTAAAGACCCCTGAAATGGATCTGTCAGCTCCAAAGTTTAAGGCAGACTTTGATTCCCCAGATCTCAACATTAAAGGTCATGAGCCAGATATCACAGGTCCAGACATTAATCTTGATTTCCCTAAAGGTAAATTTAAAGCACCAGACTTAAAGGCACCCAATCTTGACATGAGTGCACCTGACTTCGACATGAATGCCCCTTCAGGTAAATTGAAGCTGCCAAAATTTGGGTTTTCAGGTAGTAAGCTAAAAGGCCCAGATCTTAAAATCAAATCTCCAAAGATGAATCTCAAAAGCCCCAAAATGAAGGGAGGAATAGATGCCCCAGACATGGATCTGACTCTGCCTCAAACTGATTTAAAAGGCCCGAACCTAGATATCAATTCACCTGATATTGATGTTAATGGCCCTTCAGGTAAATTTAATATGCCAAAGCTGAAGATGCCCAGTTTTGGCCTGTCAGGTTTGAAAGGACCACGTATGAATGTGGATGCTGATATTGATCAGCCCGACCTCAATCTGAGCACATCAACTCCCAAACTAAATGCAGGAATAAATAGTCCTGATATTAATGTACATGAACCTAATGTTGATCTTAAAGGTCCAAGAACAGACCTTACTCTTCCAGACATTGACAAGCCTACTGGAAAAATAAAAATGCCGACTTTAAAGATGCCTAAGTTTGGTGTCTCAGGACCAAAAATAAAGACGCCTGACTATGATTTGAAGACCCCTGAAATGGATCTATCAGCTCCAAAGTTTGAGGCAGACTTTGATTCTCCAGACCTGAATCTCAAAAGCCCCAAAATAACGGGAGGAATCGATACCCCAGATATGGATCTGAATCTGCCTCAAACTGATTTAAAAGGCCCGAACCTAGATATCAAAACACCTGATGTTGATATTAATGGCCCTTCGGGTAAATTTAATATGCCAAAGCTAAAGATGCCCAGTTTTGGCCTGTCAGGTTTGAAAGGGCCACATATGAATGTGGGTGCTGATATTGATCAGCCTGACCTTAATCTGAGCGCATCAACTCCCAAACTAAAGGCAGGGTTAAATAGTCCTGATATTGATGTACATGGACCTAATGTTGATCTCAAAGGCCCAAAAACAGACCTTACTCTTCCAGACATTGACAAGCCTTCTGGAAAAATGAAAATGCCCACTTTAAAGATGCCCAAGTTTGGTGTTTCAGGGCCAAAAATAAAGACGCCTGACTATGATTTGAAGACCCCTGAAATGGATCTGTCAGCTCCAAAGTTTAAGGCCGACTTTGATTCCCCAGACCTGAACATTGAAGGTCATAAAACAGATATCACAGGTCCAGACATGAATCTTGATTACCCTAAAGGTAAATTTACAGCACCAGACTTAAAGACACCCAATCTTGACATGAATGCCCCTTCAGGTAAATTTAAGCTGCCAAAAATCGGGTTTTCAGGTAGTAAGCCAAAAGGCCCAGATCTTAAAATCAAATATCCAAAGCTGAATTTCAAAAGCCCCAAAATGAAGGGAGGAATAGATGCCCCAGACATGGACTTGACTCTGCCTCAAACTGATTTGAAAGGCCCAAACCTAGATTTCAAATCACCTGATGTTGATATTAATGGCCCATCAGGTAAATTTAATATGCCAAAGTTAAAGATGCCCAGTTTTGGCCTGTCAGGTATGAAAGGGCCAAATATGAATGTAGATGCTGACATTAATAAGCCTGACCTTAACTTGAATACATCAGCTCCTAAACTAAATGCAGTGTTAAGTGGTCCTGATATTGACTTAAATGGACCCAATGCTGATTTTAAAGGCCCAAAAACAGACCTTACTCTTCCAGACATTGACAAGCCTTCTGGAAAAATGAAAATGCCCACTTTAAAGATGCCCAAGTTTGGTGTCTCAGGGCCAAAAATAAAGACGCCTGAATATGATTTGAAGACCCCTGAAATGGATCTGTCAGCTCCAAAGTTTAAGGCTGACTTTGATTCCCTAGACCTGAACATTGAAGGTCATAAGCCAGATATCACAGGGCCAGACATGAATCTTGATTTCCCTAAAGGTAAATTTACAGCACCAGACTTAAAGACACCCAATCTTGACATGAATGGACCTGACCTTGACATAAATGCCCCTTCAGGTAAATTTAAGCTGCCAAAAATCGGCTTCTCGGGTAGCAAGCCAAAAGCTCCAGATCTGAATCTCAAAAGCCCCAAAATGAAGGGAGGAATCAATACCCCAGACATGGACCTGACTCTGCCTCAAACTGATTTAAAAGGCCCAAACCTAGATATCAATACACCTGATATTGATGTTAATGGCCCTTCAGGTAAATTGAATATGCCAAAGTTAAAGATGCCCAGTTTTGGCTTGTCAGGTTTGAAAGGGCCACATATGAACGTGGATGCTGACATTGATCAGCCCGACCTTATTTTGAATGCATCAACTCCTAAACTAAATGCAGGGATTAATGGTCCTGATTTTGACATTCATGGACCTAATGCTGATTTCAAGAGTGCAAAAACCAACCTTGCATTTCCAGACATGGACATGCCTTCTGGAAAACTGAAAATGCCCACCCTCAAGATGCCTGATGTTGATTTCTCAGGACCCAAACTCAAAACATCGGGCTATGATCTGAATACCCCTAAAATGGATCTGTCAGCTCCAGAGTTTAAGGCAGACTTTGATTCACCAGACCTCAGCATCAGAGGTCATAAGTCAGATATCACAACCCCAGACTTGAATATTGATTTACCTAAAGGTAAAATGAAAGAACCAAATTTCAAGAAACCCAATCTTGATTGGAACACTCCAGACTTTGACATTGATGCACCTTCAAGCAAATTTAAACTGCCAAAGCTGGGCTTCTCAGACAGCAAGCCAGAAGGACCTGATCTTAAAGTCAGATCTCCAAAGCTGAATCTCAAAAGCCCAAAAATAAAGGGAGGAATCGATACCCCAAACATGGATCTGACTCTGCCTCGGTCTGATTTGAAAGGCCCAAACCTAGATATCAAATCACCTGATATTGATTTTAATGGCCCTTCAGGTAAAATTAATATGCCAAAGTTAAAGATGCCCAGTTTTGGCCTGTCAGGTTTGAAAGGGCTACATATGAATATGGATGCTGACATTGATCAGCCCGGCCTTAATCTGAGCGCATCAGCTCCCAAATTAAATGCTGGGATTAATCGTCCTGATATTGACATTCATGGTCCTAATGTTGATCTTAAAGGTCCAAGAACAGACCTTACACTTCCTGACATGGACATGCGATCTGGACAAATGAAAATGCCTGCTTTTAAGATGCCTGATATTGGTTTCTCAGCACCCAAAATAAAGACACCTGACTATGATCTAAAGACACCTAAAATGGACCTCTCGACTCCGAAGATTAAGACAGAATTTGATTCCCCAGACTTCAGTATCAGAGGTCATAAGCCAGATATCACAGCCCCAGATATGAATGTTGATTTCCATAAAGGCAAAATAAAAGGACCAAATTTCAGGAAACCCAGTGTTGATGTGAACGCACCAGACTTTGACATTGATTCTCCTTCTGGGAAAATTAAACTCTCAGGAAACATGCCAGAAGGAACAGATGTTAAATTCAGCTCTCCAAAGATGAATCTTAAAACCCCCCAAATTAAAGGAGGAATTGATAGCCCTGATTTTCATGGGCTGAGGTCTGATGTTGATTTTGGTACCTATACACAAATGCATGCTAACAGCTTTGCAGTCCCAAGAGGTAAAACAAAAGCAAACATAACGTATGGTCTTGATGCTCCCTCAAGAGACGTCAGAATACCGACTCATCAGAAATATAGTGCCCCAGAATTTAACATGCAGGACCCCTATTATGACTTGAACAGAGACATGAAAGTTTCAGGAATAGCTCAGTGGGCTACAATGCAAAAACATGTCTCTGGCCAGACCAGAATCTCTGGAGTAGGTCCAACATCTTCAGATGTTTACTACAATGATATGTCTGGGGCATTCAGGTCAGGACATCATAAAACAAAAGCAAGTAGCTTTGATATTGATGGCAACTGGAACAATATATCAGTGCCTAAACTTCAAGTTTCAAGAAATAGAGAAAATGTAGCTGTGAGAAATTCAAATATGGGAATGAATACCGTGCAAAGATCAGGTGATAATGCAGGTTATTATAGGAAGATGGTTCCTAGACGTTATTACACTACTGATGATATATGCTACACTTACAAAGGGATGCCTAGAAGAGATGGATGGGGCAACTGGCAAATTGACCATAGTCGCAGACAGACAATGAGACAGCTGCAAATACATGCGATGGATCTGGAGGTTCCAGAAAGCACTTTGAAATGGTCGAAATTTAACATCTTAAACTAATGTAGGATCATTAAAAGAAAGGGATGTGGGAGACAAGAACGAGCTTGTCCTCAGCAATCTTGTTTACAGGGCTGATAAGAACTAATAGCATATTTAAAACTATAAAAACTTAGAGTAGATACTGTAAATGTGCTTGAGCAAACTTAAAACTGATGAACAAGCCTTTCCCTAAAGGAGATGTTATTGAAATGTTAGCATAAACTTGCACTTACAGTATCATAGATCATTAGGTTATAACTTTTTTAAAGAGTTTATGTACTATATGTATGTGACAAAATATGTGAAAATATTATGTCGATCTTGCCTGATTAAATATTGTAAATCATATATATTTTGTAAATTATGTAAAATGCTACAGTAATGTATAAATACAGTGTGGATGAAATATACACATGTAAAAAGGTTTGTCTGGAAAAGGTTTGTTTGGATAATATCTCGTTTCTTGACAACTTTTTGTTTAGTTTTTGCACATTTTTAGTGCTCATTGATACAATAAGGTACACGTAGGGGGATTTGTTTTGATGGATGTATATAAATCATTTGTGAAATATTCCTACTGACATTGTTGCTTCAAGATACAAAAGCAGTTGTTGTAGAATACTTCAAATGTTATGCAATTAAAATATACATTATGTACCATTTTCTGAAGTGGTTATTTTGAAAACTTTAAAAAACCTTGCTATAAAGAGTATTTGCTCATTCTGACAAAATCTGCATATACACTCTTAAAAATAAAGGTGCTTCACGATGCCATAGAAGAACCTTTTTTTTCTAAATGGTTCCATAAAGAACCTTTGACATCTGCAGAACCTTTCTGTTTCACAAAAGGTTCTTTGTGGCAAAAGAAGGTTCTTCAGATTATAAAAAGGTAAGAAAGAGATGGTTCTTTAAAGAACCGTTGACTGAATGGTTCTTTGTGGAACCAAAAATGGTTCTTCTATGGCATCGCTGTGAAGAACCTTTTGAAGCACCTTTGGTATTCAAAAGGATATGAAGCAGTGTTGGTATTCTTTATAAACATTCTAGCCCATGAAAATTGACCATAAAATTAGGCTATTATTTGACATGAAAATTTTCACACTTAAAATATAGCAAATTAGAGCAAAGAAATGTATGATTAAACATTTCCCATGGACTTATTTGCATTCTAAATTGTGATTGGTCTTGTGTCTGTCATCTAGTTGCAGACTGAACACATTTGGCACTGTACAGATTCTTGTGTGCTGCTGACTTGTCTGTTTTTGGAGGTGTGGCCTGGAGGGTGGAGCTTCATCAGGTGTTGTGATTGTGGGCATATGTGTTGGAACCCCAGGGTCATGTTAGTCCTGTTTTCTCTCTACTTCACTGTACATCATTTACCTGAGATACCAATGGATAATTCTAACTTATATAAGTGATGTTAAAAATACTTGTAGGCTAAAGTCATGGAAATTAACTGGTCAAAAAGCGTTAAAACTCTGAAACTCAAGTATGTAGCCTATAGGCTTGGGTCTAAATGAGCGAAACCGTTTTAAAATTCACGTTTCAAAAGCAAATCGACTTATAGACCTTTTGTTGTTCAAAATTACTTGTTGAAAATATGATTAGTTTGACTTTATGGTTAATTTGACAAATTATTAGAAACAGTTATTAGAAATAGGCTACCATAAAGTTCCTGCAGTCACCAGTGTCGTGAAATAAATAAATAAAACAACGAGGTTAGTGACAATAAACTACCGTTGAGTTTTGGCAGATGCTACAATTTGATTACCACTGCAGCGTGACGCTAAAAGGTTAGCCGTTGCAGGTCTTGCTTTCCGGGTGCAATCGGATTTTTTCGGCCTCGTGCCTCCGTTTTGTACCGACTCGGTTATTTCCGGGATTTCGTAGAACTGGGTTCGCTAAAACCCAGTGGTCCACCGCTGGAAGAGTACCGCCCTCAAACACTGGGCAGCAATGTTAATAGCAACAAGACATCCGGTTTTGTGAATCGTTGCCTTTCGTGCTTTCGTTTCACGCTGTGAACTGTTGGGAATAAGTTTACAGAGTTGGCAATAATCAGCCATTATGACAGCGGACCAATGTAAGCTTTCTTACGACTAGTTACCAGTTTTCGGTGGTCAGTCAGACAGCGGGTCATCGGCGAAAGAGCAGCTGGTTACTGCTCAACATTAATGTTGTTTGGGACAGGATCTCACGTCGACCGACAGGTAAGCTTTGCTAACGTCTTAACAGCCGGAATTATCAAGTTGACCTATTTGTTATTTAACTTACCGTTCTTATTACGCTTTTAATGAATACACAAGTGACTTTGTGCACATATACTGTTTCACTGGGGTTGTTTTTATTAATTAGCGAGTCGTTTAGACCGGTTTTGTGAACCGATTCACTACAAAGATCCGACTCAAAAGAACAATTCGGTTACGAATCACCATCATTTGCGTTGTTCACAACATCGTTATTTCAAAAGTTTTGGGTTTACCTAATCCATACCTGTACGTGCTTGAACCTGAATTACATTTCACGACTCTTCAGGGTCTTGTATGGCATGACAGGTATGGTCACTTAGTCTGTGTGTACTGCTCAAGTATTTGTTGACTCAGTTAGGCATGATCATGTTAAGCAACACATAGACAACACGTTATTTTAACAAACTGGTTTGGCTTCTTCCATTATTAATTTCCTTCGTTTTGCTGTAAAATTACTGTCAGCGAAACGAGATTTAATTCTATGTACACATTGGTCTGATATGGCAGCGGTTTATGATACTTACCATTAATCGTATGCTCCAAATGTGGTCTGTATTATGCTTTTAGAGACAAAATCTTTTAGAGGGCCAAACTAAAGGATACCTTGTGAGGTCTTACAATGATTGCTTTAAGTGTAGCAGTTTATTGAAGCTTTAGACAAAATATAAAAAAAGTTTGCATATGTGTTTTACAGTATGTTTAGTATCATATCTGGTAAATCAAACTTGTATGACCATAAAAGCTTGATGCATCAGATATGATACATATAGTATGACATTGGAGAATATGAAGTGTACAATTGATGAGGAAAATAGAGCAATTTTATTTAGAGACTCACACTGAGCAAATATTTGGTGCAGTTACTGATATTTATATTATGATGATATTTATTTATTACAGTAGACTACTTACATAAAATGCTTATAAATATTAGTTGTCACTCCATATCTTCTAATAATATGTCTTGTTAAGATGATATTTAAATGTTTTGTTTTATGATCAAAACTTTGTAGTTTTAATTATGGGGGACAAAACATGTAATACAACGTTATATAATAATGATTTAGAGATGTACAAATAAACTTTTCCCAAAAGCCTGATGTATTGTATTTGATACTTATATTTTAACCTGATTTTGGATCTTATGTTTACTTGATTGGATGTTTTTAGAATTAGCCTATACTAAAAGGCCTTTTACTTGCTAAAAAAGTATAAACTATCAATCAGACAACAGAAGGCATGTAGAAGATTGTGTGCAACAGCATTTTCAGCAAAGTTTTGATCATGTGGGTAATGTAGACGGTTTAGAAATTCAAGTTTCAAATATGATACTAGGCTTTATAAACACTTCTGGTCATAAGACATTTACAACTGCCAAGCAAAAATGTACATAAGACATCAAGTCTGAACTTTCCTGTTGATAACTGTGTAAAATACATCAACTACTTTTTTTCCTAGACTTGTCAGTGGCAAAAGTACATTTTCCCAATTAATAATTTTTGACACCAGGCATTGTTTTTGTGGTCTTGATGTGAATCTTGGGTTCCAGATCAGTTGTAGCCGGCTGTCAGTTTAAGTGCAGAATCTTTAAAGACTAAACTCCTACTTCCTTACATTTTTCACATGTGCTTTAATGCGTACCACAAACAGATTCTTGCAACAGTTGGGTGTAATAAACAAGGCCCTAGTCAGATTTGGTAAGGCTGATTAAAGCAGAGATAGTTGTTTGCCTGTTATGCGGCAATGTGAGGAATGCCAGGTTTGTAGTGCATTCAATACTGTTAAAAGTCATAATTTTCTCACTGTCAAGTTGTTCAAAATCTTTATGGATTTCTTTCTTTGGCTGAACAGCACAGAAGATATTTTGAATAATGTTGTTTTCACCACAGTGGAAATCAATGCAGACCATCAACTGTTCAGTTACCAACATTCTTCAAAATATCTTCTTTTATGTTCAGTATAAGAAGCTCACAAAGACCTCCAGGAACAACTGGAGGGGGAGTAAATTATGACAGAAATGTCTTTTTTTCCATTGTGTTTCCATTGAGATTTGTATGGAATCCCATTTCCGCCACTGAATAAAAAATAAAAAAAAGGTTATTGTGACTTTTTATCTCACAATTCTGACTTTTTTCACAGAATTGCGAGATATAAAGTCAGAATTGCGAGATATAAACTCACAATTCTGACTTTTTTTCTTAGAATTGCATGATATTATAAACTCACAATTGCGAGTCATAAAGTCATAATTGTGAGATAAAAACTTGCAATTCTGACTTTTTTTCTTAGAATTGCATGATATTATAAACTCACAATTGCGAGTCATAAAGTCATAATTGTGAGATAAAAACTTGCAATTCTGACTTTTTTTCTTAGAATTGCATGATATTATAAACTCACAATTGCGAGTTATAAAGTCAGAATTGCGAGATATAGCCTAAACTCGCAATTCTGAGAAAAAAAGTCAGAATTGTGTTTATATCTCGCAGTTCTGACTTTATTTCTCCGAATTGCAACTTTATGTCTCGCAGTTGCGAGTTTATATCACGCAATTATGACTTTTTAACTCGCAATTGCGAGTTTGTATCACGGAATTATGAGGAAAAAAAGTCAGAATTGTGAGATAAAAAGTCACAATGACCTTTTTTATTTTTTATTCAGTGGCGGAAACGGGCCATAGATTTGTTTGCCTCTAAAGGTCACTAGGTTTAAAAGTGGGTTGATGAGTTTCTGTGTCAGAGGTGGGTTTATTTCTTTATTGTAGTGTCCATGTGCTCACGATCACAAATAGATTTCGGGAAACAAATCATATGCTATATTTGTTTTAGAGGTTTGTGTGGTGCCTTTGCAGTTTTATTTATTAGATATGTTCATACACAAAGCCATGATTAAATAGAGCAGCAACAGGCGTTTCGATTACAGCATATAATAGCTTGAATGTAATGAAGATGAGCCATTCAGGTCACAAGCATACTGGTTTTATACACGTTTTGCCGTGCTTCACCCATTTTAACGCTCTCTCAAATCCATTAGTCGTTGTGCAGCGGCAGATCCTGCTTAGTGACATTCCAGTTAATGCTGCTGAAGTTTTGTATCACTACACTTCGTCTGTGGACATGTGAGCGAGCACTTTTGCCTGAACTGGTAGGGAAGCGTTTTGGAAGCAAGGAAGTTTAACCTGTCAGTGGAAAAAAAGAAAGAGGAATAGGGTTTTTTTTGTTTGAGTATTTCTGAAACATTACTATGTGGAGCTTGCTGTCTGCTGTTGTGTAGTTCCTGGAAGAGTCAGGTAGTTTGGGAGGTACTGACGCCACATTGATGACGTTAATCACTAATATGTCACTATGATGAGTCATTGTTTTTAAAGGATTGTTTTAGGCTGTAATTCTTCCACCTTGCAGAGTTTTTGTGGGAACCTCAGACCAAGCGCTGAAGATTGAGGTGACTGTCGACGTCTTCCGTATTTGCCAAGATGCCTATTCCTCCTCCTCCCCCTCCACCTGGACCTCCACCACCCCCCAGCTTTAGCCAGGTCAGTGTAAAGCAAAGAGCGGGTAGAATGTGTTTCACCTCACTGCAGCAATTTATCCTCCCTGTTGCTTCCTTAGTTCTTAGTTCAACTCCCTTTATGTTTTTTTTTTGTCAATGACAAAATTAAAAAAGGAAATTATTTAAACATTCTAGATTAAAGCACACGTGCCAAGATCTTAAAAAAAAATTGTATTCAAGTAGGTCTCATATAGCTTTAAGAACTTTGTTTTCAAATATTTACACATTTTTATCAAATTATTTTTCAAAGTAGTTTTTCGACCAAAAAAGTCAATTATTAATTTAGAAATATAATTTTTTAGTTTATTTCCTAAAATATCATTCATATGATATTTGATATATTTTACAAAAAAAAAAAAAGTGAATAAAATATCATTAGATTTTGGAGTTTGGAGAGTGACACTACTTGTTATAAAAAAAATTATAATAATCTTATAACTTAAGAGACTGACTTTGACAAAAAAAAAAAATAATTTGTTCAAAAAACTTTTGAAAAAAGTTTTTCATATAATTTTCAGTCTTTATGCCCCACAGAAAATATCAAAAGGAATGTTAATTTCAGAAATTCAGAACAAATTTTGTCTTAAAGCGAAATTCAAGTCAATGAAATGCATTTTTAATGTATTTTTAAATAAATGAATAGATCAGGTTTTTTAACATACAAATGTGTTGACTTTCAGGCAAACACCACACCTCCAAAACGAAGTCGAGATGACGCTAAAGGAAGAGGAGCTCTGCTGTCAGACATCTGCAAAGGCACTAAACTGAAGACGACCAGTGGGGTCAATGACAGAAGTGCACCTATCCTCGAAAGTACGTCATCTGTTGTGCACTACCGCTGAAAATACAATGAATTGTTTGACGTGACCCACCTAACCATGCAATGTTTTTTTTTTGGCAGAGACTGGAGGTCGAGGTGGCAGTGGTGGAGGTGGCAGTGGAGGAGGATTTGGAGGTGGTTCTGGGCCAATGGCCATGGGAGGATTGTTCAGTGGAGGAGTGCCTAAGCTACGACCAGTTGGAGGTATGTTTCTCTTTCACAGTGTGCAGTGCAATGGTGATTTTTATTAAGGTTGCACAATAAAAATGACCTTTTCAACTTTTTTAAAAATATTTTTTTATAAGGGATGCACTGAAATTTTGGCTGCCAAAAATTGGAATTTTAGCCGAAAGAGAAAAATGGCAGAAAATATGAGTCAAATACATGTTGTATAATTAAAAAAAAAAAAAATTCAGTTAAATATTAACATCTTTTCGGTCTAATTAGATTGTTTTACTTTAAATAAAAGTGTTTTATTTTTAGGGATGCACCGATACCATTTTTTCAGAACCGATCCAATCCAATCCCAAAAGTTCTGAGTATTGGCCGATACCGATCCGATACCAGCCCAGTTTTTTTTAATCAATGTAGAATTTCTATACTTCTGTGTGTTGACCTGATCATCACTCTTTTGAAAAAAAATTGAAGTAACTTGTGGACGAGTATAGTGACCCATACTCGGAATTTGTGCTCTGCAATTAACCCATCCAAGTGCACACACACAATGTGAACACACACCTGGAGCAGTGGGCAGCCATATTGCATAAGGTGGAAGAGAGTGCTGGTTATTCACTCCCCCCACTGACAATTCCTGCCGGACCTGAGACTCGAACCCGCGACCTTTGGGTTCACGTCCGACTCTAACCATTAGGCCATGACTGCCTCCCCTATGGGAGGGGGGGCTATGGTGCTGTATTTAACACATTTTGTGTGTTAAATACAATCTACTAAATATAGACAATTTCATTTTAAAGAAAAATAACAAATGAAAAAATATATAATCATAATCTATGACAAAAAAATACTATTATAAACTAGGTTAGTGGATAATTTAACAGCAAATTTATTCTAGAAATATGAGTGCACAATTTTATAAAATCTAAACATTTAGTGAAATATGACAAAAATACTATTATAAACTAGGTTAATGAATAATTCAGCAGCAGAAGTTATTCTGGAAAAATCATGAGTGCACAATACTTTGATAAAATCTAAACATTTAGTGAACGTTATTTAGTGAGGAACAAATAAAATTGAATAAGTGTAGGACTAAATCTGGTAAATTATTTGAATTGTTGTAAAATACATTCATGAAAAACAAGTAAATATATTTATATATAAATATATACTATAAAATTAAAATACATTTCTTTTAAATGTATAGCACAGTGATGGAGGCAGCAACATATGATCAATAGGACAGAACAAGAAATGCTATTAATAATGTTTCATTGCGCAAAAGTATTATAATATGAAAGGCTCTATACAGAGAGACACAAAGCGCATATGCGCATCCTGTGCGCAGAATGATGCGCTTGAAGCAAAACGGAGTCACAGCGCAGAGAGGCCTTTATTCACCCCCTAGAGCCATGTGAGGCACATTTTAATATGGGTGGATGCGCTTTATTTGACTACTTTTGGACTGTTGAACATAAACACCCGCCCATGCCATTATAAAGCTTGGAAGAGGTTGGACAATTTTTAATATAACTCCAATTGGATTCGTCTGAAAGAAGAAAGTCATAAACATCTAGGATGCCTTGAGGGTGATTAAAACATGGGCTAATTTTCATTTTTGGGTGAACTAACCTTTTAACGATAACACAGAATAGTATATGCACAATATCGGATTTGGATCGGTCTCGTCTGACCGATACCCGATTCGACAGAAAATTCCAGTATCAGAGCCGATACCGATACTAAGTATCAGATCGGTGCATCCCTAGTTATTTTATTGGCTTGTATTTTTTAATTCAGTAACATTAAGTCAAATTAAAAAGTCTTACTAAATTATTTTCTAAAATAATATATATTTATTAAAAAGCATTTTCAGTTTCAGTTTTTGGCCACGTGCATTCAGAATTTTCGTTTCGGTGTAAGCCCTAATTTTTATTTTCTATGAAGATGCACTACCTCACAAAATCACCATATTAACTCTAGAATGATTAATTCTTTCCAATTATGAAGTCAAATGACCAAAATGTATTTTTTTCATGTTGCTGTATATATTGCAGGAAAAAATATTGCAATGTCACTTTTCTCCCAATATCGTGCAGCCCTAATTATTATCTCAAACTGTTTGATGTGTCCACACAGACAGCTCTGTAGGACGGTCAGCGCTGCGGCCACCTGGCTCTCGCCCTGCGGTCCCTCGTGGCACGAGTCATTTGGAACCGGACGGATCCAGTCGTGGTAATGGAGGCCGCTCCTCACCTCCAGAACAGTCACGAAATCAACGTCCCTCCGTGCCAGACATCTCCAAACCGTCTGCTGCCAGCAGCTCCTCAAAACCCACCAACTCCGCTCCGCCTCCACCCCCGCCATTCAATCGCGGTGGCAACCGCGGGACCTCCTCAGCCCAACAGGTTTCTGGGGCACACAGTCGTGAGAAACCCCTTCCACCACCGCCTGCAAGCAAGGGGCCTCCACCGCCGCCATCTTCTGCTCGGGATGGGCATCCTAGACATCCCCCTCTTTCATCTCGCTCCTCTTCATCCTCCTCCCCTTCCTCAAACGCACCTCCACCTCCTCCTCCTTATCGTCAGCCGACTAATGCTGCAAATGGTGACCCGGCCCCCGAGTTGCCACAGAGGCGAAACTCGCTGAACAAGAGAAGCCATGGCAATGCTAACGTCCGTAGCCAGGCTCCTCCTCCACCCCCTGCCCAGCAGAACAGACGACCCCCGCCGCCATCACGAGATCCAGTGGTGCGCAGCACAGGTAAAACACAAACTGAGAACTCTCTCACTATAGACCTTAGTCAGTTTCTGACAGGAATGAAACAAGGCTGTGAGGCTAGAAGTAAAGTGCGTTCAGTATATTGTACCGATTGTTCGGTTGACGAAATGTCTTTCCGAAAAAAGCTTTAAAAAAACATTATTTTCCACATACTGTACATTATTGTTTCTCCTCTATGCCCCGCCTTTCTGAAACGCGTCGATTTTTACAAAGCTTATCGGTCTGAAAAAGCGAGGTGTGCTCTGATTGGCCAGCTATCCAGTGCGTTGTGATTGGCCGAATACCTCAAGCGTGAGACGGAAAAAGGGAAAGAATGAAAACATTTTTTGAAGCACTGCCAGTGGCATAATCAAAATTCAAACAATAAATAAATCGAAAACTATTAACTTTATTGAGTTAAAGATGTTTAAAGAGAAACAATATATTTTACATGCATACACATATGTGTGTGTGTGTATATATATATATATATATATATATATATATACATACATACATACATATACGTATATATACATACATACATATATAGTGCTTTTTTGACATGTTTTGACTTTCAGCATCTGTTTCCCGCACACAACATAGATAATCTTCAACCTCATCATGACCAAAAATGATGCTACAGTACCAATACTTAAAATTTGTTGCACTGAATTATCAAGAAGCGGTTTGTGGCCAAACTTTACTATGACCGGTTTAATTTATCGCCTGACAACATGACTCCCTGAACAGTATATAGAATTAAATTACCCAATTACCAAAACTGAATTACTTAACAAATAGGTTTCAAATGGAAAAAGAACTAAATGATGAACATTTTTTCATGAACTGTTCCTTGAAATCAAGGGTTTTCAAGTAAATGTAGATCTCATTTAAAATGAAGTGTTCATTCAGCTCCTCAGGTTCCTCCTCCTGCAATTCGTAACGGGGTTCGAGAAACACCACCCCCTCCGCCTCCTTATCGCAGCGGGCCACAAACGTCTTCTGAACCCCCTAGTCGAGGGAAGCCCCCTCCTCTGTCCTCTGCTGGACGTCAGCATTCAGGACATGCACCTCCTCCTCCTCCACCTCTGCGCAATGGACATGCGTCATCTGCCCCCAGGTCCTTTCTTGGTGAGTTCCATCAGTTCAGTTCATTCTTTTAGTTGCTCATTTGTTTGTTTGTGGGAAGTTCCCATAGATCAGAACTTTGATTTCCGAAGTGGATCTGTAGTCTACTGTGCATCAGCACATGAAAATAACCCTGGAGTCAAATGAGCTCTCAGTAATAATTCAAATGCGGCCCACTTATTTCCTCATTACACCCGTCAACAAAGCCTTCTCAGAACGTGGAGATAAGTAGTTCTGAAAAATAAGATCATAATTTTACTCGTGACCTGTTAGTGATCATTAATTTACAAAAAAAAACAGATTTCTTTATGTATTTCATACAGGTTTCTCAAACTCTTGGGGATTTGTGAGGGAACTGCAGAGGGTTCATGCATTACTAAAATGATAAAAATGTCAGATTAAAATAAATAGAGCTGCAAAATTGAAATGATGATATAGTTTAATATGATTATGAAGTCACAAAAGGCTGTATTTTAGTCTGTTGCACTGCGTGTTTCTGAGTTCATTTACACGTGAGCAGCTCATGATCCAGGGTTTTCAGTGTCTCGTGCGGCTGGGTTCACACTCCAAACACAAACGCCATCTCTGAATGTTGCTTAGAATGTGCGTTAGGAAATTGAAATTGCAATATATGACAAAATAATTACAATATATTTTTTGGACCAAATCATACAGGCCTCTACTGTAAATAAATAATTTTAAAACCATCAAAATAAACGTATTTTATTTGTTTACCCGCATACCATGTGACAATAAAGCAAATATCAGAAACCCCTGAACATTCAAATGTGTTGGTAAATTACTGAAATATTAACTTAAAAACCCAGAAAATGTTTTGTCAGAAGGGTTCAGCTGGGGAAATCCTGGGAATCTGTGGGATGGAGATGTAGCTAAAGAAATATCAGCTTTTGGATTGGATTATTTTTCCATCAGAAGAATTGTAATTTTCACCAAACAGTTTTTGCTGCTTTATCTTGTTAATTTCAAAGAACAGCATTTTTTGTAACATAAAATGTCTTTACTGTCACTTTTGGTGAATTGAATACAAGTAATTAATTCTTTACTTGCCCCAAACTTTTAAACAGCTGTTTATCACAGTTTACACAAAATATTAAGCATCACAACTGTTTTCTGTTTGAATAATAATAAATTATCATTTATCATTATAAATAATAATAGATTATCATTTATAATATATTATTACATTTGATCATTTATTTATATAAAGAACAGTTATTTTAAATTATAATTACAGCATTGTTTTTGTTTTTTTACAAATAAATGTAGAGTTAGAGACTTTTTTTTTTTTTGTACACTGTGAATATTGAATGTATTGCTTTGAATTTTTAATGAAACTTTAATCTGCAAAAGACTGGAGTAGATGGATTATAATTATTTTTCCAATTCAATTTCAAATTGATTCATATGATGAACTAGCAAAAATTCTTCCAACCGCCACATGCTAAATTAAATGAATGCGCTCATCTTGACGTGGCAGTTAAACATTATCATATGCAAAGCTACTTGTCCACTAGGTAGTGCATAGAATAGATAATGTTTTCTATTTATAAAATGTTTGATGTCTCTTCTCAGATGATTTTGAGTCCAAGTACGACTTCCACCCTATAGAGGACCTTCCCCCACCTGAAGAATACAGACCCTTCCCGAAGATCTACCCCAGCCAAAGCAACAAGGGTAAAGACCTTACTTTGAACTTTGACCTATCATTTCTCCATAGAGATAAACACATTTCCTCATGTCCTCTTTATCTCTCCGGCTTTAGTGAGAGGTGCTCCTCCACTGCCTCCTGTTGGAGGGAAGTGAACACTGTTCAGGGAAGAGAAGGACCAAGAAGAGATGACACAAACACATAAATATGTACGCATATGCAGTATATATTTACTTGTGTTTGCCACACAAACATTAATTGCACCTACAAATACATCGAATAACGTGACATCTTCCTTAGGGCAACACTATAAAAACCTACATGATCGCTGATCCAAACCACTCCAGAATGCTGTACCTCTATACCTGAAAATACTGTGCAATATTCCTGTGCTGCCTAGAAATGCACCTTTTAATATCGTGTCAGATGACAGCGGCACAGCAATGCGAGAGCAGACAACTCCAGTTCACATGAAGCTAGATGTGTACATTCCATCTGTTTCTTACAGCAACCAAAGTTTTTTATTCAATGAGAAAATGTGCAGCACTTGTGGATTAGCGATGACTATGCATATCAGACACAAAGTCTGTATTTCTCTGGACAATCATGTAATTGTATGTATTTTTATGATTTTTTTCTTTCCAAATCAGTCAGGAATGAGTTAAATTCTGAAAGTCTTTGCTTACACTACAAAGGCCACGAAACAGCCTTGTTTCTTGTTCATTTCACAGTTGTTTTCCTCGTCACACTACAGAGTCAAAAACTATGATAGCCAACATAGAGCTGATAAAAAATAAAAAAAAATAAATCAGTTCCATACTGAATTTAAACTACGTTTTTACTGACCAAATATACACTAAGTGCCATCGAAGACTTGGTCTTGTTGGACAGCTGTGTTTTTTTGAAACCATATACAGATTCTCCTGCTGGGTATCAATGTTTCTGGGACGTTTACACATTGCTTTTCATCATTCGTGTTTTAAACCTAAACTGAATTTCAGGAAATACATTTTAGTAGATTTTGTGCAAAACACTACATGTTTTCTAATGGGCGTGTTTTAATTCTGTGACATTGTATTATATGTTATAAAGTGACCAGGTATGTTAATAATGTTCAGGCACTTCTGGTCATTAATATAGAAGCTATTAATTGGGATTTGGTGACCAATCAGTCTGACTTGTAAATGCCATTTGATCTGTTTCTGAATGTGTTAAAATATGTCAACATAATTCTGAAATAAAAGGTGGGAGTGGGAATTAATGTACTGCTTTATGATAATGGTATAATATAAATGTGTTGATCTTTGTTAATACACATTGCTTTATAATTAGTCTTTTACATTAACACAAAATATTTAGTCACTCCTTGCCATGATTAACTAGTTAGACTGAGGTATAACACTGTCATACTGATGATGCACACACACACACACACACACACACACAAAACAACTCAGGGTTATTGTCTATATAGATTAATCTTGGAAGAAATTTGACTTCAGATTTCTTTAAATGTCACAACAGACAAACAACATTAGAAAACAAATGGATAAAAATATCTAAATCATGAAAAGGGACCTTCTTGTCACCATTTGTAATCATTTTTGAACACCCTTGACATACAATATGAAACGAGATATACTGTGAATGTATTTTTGATAGCTTAGTTGAATAATTTAATAACAGCCAAATCAAACAGAATCATAGTCAAAAAGGCACAGCTGATTACATAATTATACAGGGCCATATTCTTAAAAGAAACGGAATGTAATTTTTCACCAGAAAATCTGAATCACGTCCACAAATCTCCCATTAACAAATACAGAAACTGTTATTATCCAACATAAAATAAATTCACAGACAATGAATAAATTTAAACTCAAATACTCGAAGGAGATGTAAATATAAGATATTATGCATGATTTTTTTAAACAATCAAATTTCAAAATATAACACTATTTCTATTTAACTGCAGAGTAAAAACACTATTATTTCATTTATTTTAAAGATTTTGTAGGACTGCGCATGCGCAGCAGCACACGTTTGGCGCTAGTTTGACGGCGAGGAAGTGAGTGGACGCAGAGAGATCTACAACTTGTGATAATGTAATCATTTTTGAACACCCTTGACATACAATATGAAACGAGATATCCTGTAAATGTATTTTGATAGCTTAGTTGAATAATTTAATAACAGCCAAATCAAACAATCATAGTCAAAAAGGCACAGCTGATTACATAATTATACAGGGCCATATTCTTAAAAGAAACGGAATGTAATTTTTCACCAGAAAATCTGAATCACGTCCACAAATCTCCCATTAACAAATACAGAAACTGTTATTATCCAACATAAAATAAATTCACAGACAATGAATAAATTTAAACTCAAATACTCGAAGGAGATGTAAATATAAGATATTATGCATGATTTTTTTAAACAATCAAATTTCAAAATATAACACTATTTCTATTTAACTGCAGAGTAAAAACACTATTATTTCATTTATTTTAAAGATTTTGTAGGACTGCGCATGCGCAGCAGCACACGTTTGGCGCTAGTTTGACGGCGAGGAAGTGAGTGGACGCAGAGAGATCTACAACTTGTGATAATTACAACGATTATCAACACACATTCAGCTTTAATGAGGTAAGACATTCATTATATTAATTCTATCGTTTTTAAAAGATTGTTGTGTAGTGTTTTTAAATAAGATTAGTTTTATTAAGTGTTGTTGTTATGAACTTGGCGCCAAATGACCCACAGCAGGAGCTGCTCACTTTTAATTTACAGTATTGGTTAGACATACACAAGTGTTTCTGCAACAAATAAAACTATTTATTTTGATAATGGACTTATTTTTGAAGCGCGGTCGTGAAATAAAACGGACAGAAAACATGAATAAAATAAGCAATCACTAAGTGCCTGTAGGTTCAGACGGCCAAAATGGAAAGGACTAAGTTACATAACTTGTGATCTTTGATCTGTGGGATTCTGCACAAAATGGCCACAAATGATTGTCTTTGTTGTAAGACTTGATGATATTATACAACAACCAACCCCCAACAGGTTTTAGGCTAGTATGGCTTTGTTAAAGACTCGCACCTCGGAGTCTATAGGAAAAACTACACTTACTTGCTAAATTCTTGATGGGTTATCTCAGTTTGCTCCTCAAGCTACAGTTTTGATGCTACAGATGTAATTTAATCACATAAGTAGATCTGACACAGAATATATGGCAAACTATTGTGCTTTGAAAGTCATTGATTTGCTGTAAACTAAGTCGTCACTGTGCTTTTCATTTCAGATCTGCTTCCTGGTTTTAAACTAAAAATGCCCAGCACTCGCTCACAGAATCAGCCCACCGTTCAGTTCCCCCGAAGAAAGTCTTCCAGATTGGGTTCTCGACCTAAAAGCTCCTCTGAGAATGCAGTGGACGTCCAGACCACCCCTCTGTCCCCTAGAAAGTCAAATGTGGGAGATCCGCCCGGCGTCTGTCTGTCTCCCAGGAACTCTGTGTTGAAAAACACCTGTTTGTCTGAGAGGCTGCCCTTGAGCCCCCGCAAACGTACAGGTGTGTAAATCATCACCTTTAAAAAACATCACGGCTGCTGGGCTTATAGTAGTGTGGCATGGTTTAAGTCTTTTATTGACGATGCTCTTGGTCTTCCCGTGTTTGTTCTTCAGGTGACGAGAATGGCTGTAACCTCCCGGCCTCTATGCTTGGCTCTCCTCCTAAGCAGCGCTGCGCTCCTCTGGGCTCCCCTCGTAAACTGTCCTTCAATGAGAACACGCCGGTCTTCTCCTCACCTCCACGTCCCACCCCGTCCTCACCCAAAATTCCCCTCTCTCCCATTTCACGTCCATCGCCAAAGCGGCTGCAAGAGACCCCCTGCTCAAACCCGATCCCCCGTACAGAGGGAAAGCTCCCTGTTACTCGACTCTTTCCTGTGAAAAGTATGTTTTGTTCGTTGTCTGTTAGCTCATTTACGTAGATGTATTAAAACCGGTGTCACGCATTGATCAGTTGCTGACATTTAATAAGCAATCTGTATCTGTTGTGGTCTTTTTTTTTTCTTCTGCAGAATTGGGTTATCAGAGTGTAAAGCAGGCTCTTCACACTGCAGTACCTGAACGTCTTCTCTCTCGTGAGGCAGAGAGAGCTGCCATCGTCTCCTTCCTGGAGAACCACGTGGTGGTGGAAAAACCCTCCAGCCTCTATATTTCTGGTGCTCCTGGCACAGGCAAGACCGCCTGTCTGAACTGCATCCTCCAGGAACAAAAGGTGAGCTTAAGAGGAAATATGGGGTCTGAACATCTAAAATCAAACCGCACTACTTTAAAATGCGCTACTGTTTAAAATTGAGGATCCATTAAATTGATGTTTAGAATGTAACAAAATATCTATTTTCTTAAAATGCTGTTCTTGTGAAGTTTCTAATTTACTTCAAAGCATTCCACAACATTTTTAAGCATCACAGCTGTTTTCAGCATTGATAATATAAGTTTCTTGGAACAGCAAATCAGCATATTAGAATGATTTCTGAAGGATCATGTGACACTGAAGACTGGAGTAATGATGCTGAAAATCTAGCTTTGCATCACAAGAAATAAAAAGGTTATTTTAATTATAATAATTTCCAAAATTAATATTTTACTGTATTTACGATCAAATAAATGCAGCTTTTGGTGACCATAAGAGACTTCTTTCAGAAAATGTAAAAAAAAAAAAAAAGTTTATTTCTGACCATAAACTTTTGAATGGTAGTGTACATCAGCCTTTACTTTTAAAAATCTGGCATGCAAAATTGTAACATGAACTTAAAATGAGATAATGCATAAACAACTGTGCTTATGGTCATCTGTCTTCTCTCGTTTCCAGGCTCTGTTGAAAGGTGTTCAGACTGTGGTCATCAACTGTATGAATCTGCGTAGCTCACATGCCATCTTTCCATTGCTGGGAGAGAAACTGGGGGCTCCAAAGGGCAACAGCGAGGCTCGGCTGGAGAAACTTCTGACCAGGTCTGGGCCAACTGTGTAAGTCGGCTCGTGCTAATTTGCATGAACCATTTGTACATATGTACTGTGAGTGAGGTCAGATTTTGTATTCGGAGTCAAACATGTTTTGTTTATTTGATAAGCTCTTACTATGGTGTTTTTGTGTGCAACAGCCTGTTGGTTCTTGATGAGATGGACCAGTTGGACAGCAAGTCTCAGGAGGTTCTCTACACGATCTTTGAGTGGCCTTACCTGCCCAACTCTCGCGTTTGTCTCATTGGTAAAGTAGTCGTGCATTTATCTCCCCAAATTTGTGGACTCAGTTTCTGTGAACACTCTTCTATATAAAGAGGGTCGTTTTGGACTTACCTGTGAACTTTAACCCCTTAGGTATTGCTAATGCATTGGACCTGACGGACCGTATTCTGCCTAGACTGCAGGCCAAACCACACTGCCGACCCAAGCTGCTCAACTTTCCTCCCTACAGTCGTGAGGAGCTTAATGCAATCGTTCAAGACCGGCTCACACAAGTATGCCTACTTCCATGTTTCCTGATATTCGTACTTCTCTCATTCGGAGGTAATAATAGACTGGCGTGTTAGGTGACAGGGGAAGGTGTTTTGGACGCAGCGGCAGTTCAGTTCTGTGCCAGAAAGGTTTCAGCTGTGTCAGGAGATGCCCGCAAAGCGCTCGACATATGCAGGTAAGAGAACCAGTTTCAACTGCTAGAACAAGTGTGATTTGTAGCTTTGTGAGGTTCTCACACATTTGTGTGGCTATGCATCAGGAGGGCCGTGGAGATTGTGGAAGCGACTGACAGGTCTAAAATGGCATCTGAACCTGCAGCCAGCCCTAAAGGTAGGAATTACTGTACCATATTTTCTAGAAAATAAGTTGTACTGGGTCAAAATTGTATTTGAGAGAGTAAAAAAAGCTACATGGGTGTATATATGTCATTTAATATTATTATCATCAGGGTCTCTGCTGGTCTGGACAGTGTCACATTTACCAATGAAACATTATTTAGAAAGAAAGAAATGAGGGATGTCTACTTTCTTGTTGCAGTGTGGCGGGTGAGTGTTCCTCAGGTGGCGCGGGTTTTATCAGAGGTGTATGGCGACCGTATGGCATCCAGCAGCGGGGACGGCGAGAGCTTTCCTTTGCAGCAGAAGCTTCTGGTCTGCTGTCTGCTTCTTATCATCCGTAATGGCAAGAGCAAAGAGGTCCAGTTGGGCAAGGTGAGGCAACATTTGATCGTCTCATGTTTTTAACATTAAACTTGCTTCTAAACCCTGTAACTTGCGTGTTCATGAAGTGAGAAGTCATTCTGGGGCTGATGACCCTGTTTGTGTTTCTGCAGCTGTGTGAAGTGTACAGTAAGCTGTGTAAGCAGAGGCAGGTGGGAGGCGTCGGACAGACCGAGTGTTTGTCTCTCTGCAGTCTGCTGGAGAGCAGAGCAATCTTCACACTCAAAAAGGCCAAGGAGGCTCGACTGACTAAAGTACGAGCAGTTATGAATTCTCAATAGTATAACAGAAAATGTAGTATACTCGAGCCTTAAGATCGTTATTGAATCAGTATCTTAATTCATAACAGCTTTAATGGGAGGTCAAAATGTCTATTGTTTTCTCTTTCCTAGATCTCCCTGAAGATTGAAGAGCGAGACATAGAGAATGCTTTGAAGGATCGAACTCTCCTTGGTAGCATATTAGCAGCTGGTCTGCCATAAATTACATCAGATTTCAGGTCCTTTTTTTTATTTTATTGTTTTATACTAATTTTAATCTTTTTCTCATTTGTCAATATTTTATAATGCTTTAATGTGAAAGTCTTGTTTAAAATGAGATGTGCTATTTCAAAGAGTGATGATTTGATCCAAAAGGGTTGATTTCTCCATTATGTTTGTCAAACATTTGGCCTGCCTTTTTAAGTGTAAGGTTGTCTTTTTTATTTTTATTTTTTATAAATGTATTCTTAAATAGGCATAAATTCTTCTTTGTTTCAAAACAGAAGACTTTGCCTTCTATTTTATTTTGTACATCACCTTTTAATGGTTTTGGGGGATGTACACTTTTAATAAAGCAGAATGTACAGAATGTAAGTTTGCTTCTGAGTTACTCGTTAAAATATCTCTAAAAATCAAACATATTTTTAAAATATGGCACAATTTAAAACAAGCCAGCCAAAGTTTTCCACTTCCCTATTGTATTAAAGTAGGTGTATTAAATCTGCTTGTTACTGCTAAAAGTTTCACTTGTATATTGACCAACAATTTGGCTTTACATAAACCACAAGCCAAAAATAAAGGCCATCTTAAATGTAGATGGGTTGGTTTCTTCTTAGGAAAATATTTGGAGAAATTTAGCCTTACATCACTTGCTCGCCAGTGAATGGGTGCCGTCAGAATGAGCGCTGATAAAAACATCACAATAATCCACACCACTCCAGTCCATCAATTAATGTCTTGAGAAGTAAACGGCTGTGTGTTTGTAATGAACAAATCCATCAAGGTGTATTAACTTTAAACCATCACTTCTGGTTGATACACAAGTCCATAATAACGCTTCCTCCAGTGAAAAAGTTTCACTTGTAAACAACACTTGATCAGTGTATGTTTCTCTTTTCGACTTTATCACTTTTTACTGATGAACTTGGAATTGTGTGGATTGTGGTGTTCTTCGCATTATCTGCTCTCATTCTGACGGCACCCATTCACTGCAGTGGATCCATTGGTGAGAAAGTGATGTAATGCTACATTTTTTTCCAAATCAGTTCCAACAAAGGAACAATTTTCATTTTTAGGTGAACTATTTCTTTATTGTATTTTTTGTTTTTATTAAACCAAATGAAGAAAAATGACTCCGAAGACCTTTAAACACTTCAACCATTTCAACACCCTAGTACTTGTCAAAATGAGGCTAGTCACAAAGCATTAGTTAACATGATTTTATTTCATTTTTTTGGATAAAGTGTGAAGTAAAAACGCTACAAAGAATCCCTTTGTTCTGCTTGCCTCCTAAGAGGAGTTAGTATTCGAACAAATGTGAAGCTAGTTTTTATAACTCGAGGTTTAATTGTTTGGTTAAACATTAGTCCCTTTGCAATCAGCACAGCATTTATCACGCAAATAAAAAGATCTCCATACACATTGCAATGCAAAACAAACAAAATCAGTATTTCCTTGTCTATACATTAAGACAATTTTAGCAAAACAAATATTTGGAGTGAAAAAAACAAGTGGGAAAAGGTTAACATGTAAAAACTCCAGTATTCGACAGTCTCAGCAAAGGAGGAAACATGGAGATGCACTGTATTGAGTTCTAAGCGCTGTAGGAAATCAACATGCCAGACATTTCCACTCACAAAAGCTGATCAGCTGTCTAAAACCACTGTGAACGAAGCTATAAAGCTGACCTCGGGTCAGTTATTGTGAGATCACAAGTCTAAATCATTGATCGCATTTTCTAAAATCTTACAACTATAAAAAGCAATGTGATTATCATTATAAAATATTATAATAAAATCTCTTTGGCATAGTTAACCAGTCCTCTTACCAACAATGTATTAATGCACCCATAAGAAACACTAAAATATAACATTTTCTACAAAAAGACGTGTAAATTGCATCATGCTGTCATCCTTTTATAAAGGCAGGTTAAAGTTGTGCTCGATTCTGCCTCTCCCAGCACAGTGAGAATTGCATATATTATAGCAGTGTCAGTGTGTGTTTGCTGAGAAATGGACCACAGGCATCCAGCGATGGAAAAAAAACTCTGCCAGGAGTGTCTGTCTCTTGTATTTTTCATAACCCTCTTTCAGTGGCATCATCGGGCTGTAAAATAAATACACAACACTCCGTTTAATGCAGACTTTAGCACACACGGCCAATCCTATTTGAGTATTTGAATGACAGCTAGTGTATTCGAGCAGTACTAACCTGTTAGTAATCATGGTAGGCTCTGGCTATGGAGTTGTAACCCATGCCTGGCACAAAATCCTCTGGCATTTCTTGATCTAGTGGCATACTGTCCATATGCATGCCATCGCTGTATCCTTGATATGCCACGGGGCCGTATCCATCGAGCTCTGTACGAGACAACACTGCAAAAAGTTAGCTATCTGCGTAATGTTATTACCATATAGTCGTTAGAGACATAACTGCCAGTCATGGAAATAATTAGCTGCCAAATCATGGTGAGAGAGAGAGAGACGATATACTAACCATCCTCTGGAAGGCCAGGTTCCATCATGGGGTTGTGTGCCTAAAATGCAACAAGGAAATCGTCAAGAAACCTTGCGCTCTATGTACATATTTATCTCATTTGTTGGGATTTATGTCAATGCACTGCCAACTTTAAAGTCAGCTTTACAGTCAACATAGAAATCAAACATGACATTTTAATGTGTAATAGACACCTAACATACTGAGCCTAAACCAAATCAAATGAGCCTAAAATTCTAAATAAGAAGCCTAATTAGGGACAGTAAAGATCCATTTTCACACCTACACACACATATATATATATATATATATATATATATATATATATATATATATATGTGTGTTTACAATAATAGTATATTGAACCAACAACAATTAAAAAACAAAAACAAGCAAAAATATATCGTAGGGCTGCACGATTATGACAAAAATCATAATTGTCGATTATTCCCTTGAAATTGTAATTGCGATTATTAATTACGATTATCACTGTGAGTTTGTATCATGCAATTCTAAGAAAAAAAACTGGTATGGTTTATATCTCGCAATTCTGACTTCATTTCTCACAAGTTTATATCTCACAATTGTGAGATAAAAAGTCGCAATTACCTTTTTAATTTTTTTTATTCAGTGGAGGATACGGGCTTCCATAGAAATATCCCCCGTTTCCTTATAAAAATATCTTTAGAAAAAAAAAAGACGATTTTTTTAGGATCAGATATAATAAAATGTCTGAATTAGTTTTTCTTGTCAAATATGTCACATTATGGAGATAAAATGGGTTGCGAATGCAATTTCATGTGCAATGTGTTCAAATAACACAGTAAATAACCTCCACACCACCAGAGGGCAAACTCACCATCTCCCAAGCAGCAGGGTCATGTTTGAAGAGCGAGTGCGTGAGCTCCACCGACACTCGTTTCTTATAGTCTGGGTTTTTGTCCTCAGAAATTCTGAAGAGAACAGCAGCAGCATAGGTGGCTGGAAGAAAGAAAGCACCCTTGTTACGTGCTTAAGTCCAAATTATACATCACAGTGTTGACGTGAATGTGTAGCTTTTTTATACATTTGATGGAACACATGCACACTAGACAGTGTTATGCTTGTCCAGTGTCTACGCCAAGAAATATCTGGCTATGCGAGTACAGTATTCATATGGTGATGCTGATGTATTCAATCAAATCTTTTTGGCATATTTGGATGCTTCTCTCTCACTCACCGATCCCTTCGTTGCTGGAGTGGAGGAGCTCCATGAGAGGAGCACTGGCTCCTTCCGAATCAATGATCTCAGCCGACTGTTTGTCGAGAGCCAGTTCACACAGAACTCCAGCTGCCACACGCTTGACGTTATCCAGTGGAGAATACAACAGCTGCAGCGACAGAAAACAGATGTCTATTATACACTGACCGTGTCAGATGGAGGGCAAAGACTGTACAATCCCGCTCCCATACATATGCATAAAAACGCCCACAACACAGTGGAAAGATGTAAGAGTTACCTGAACAAACAGAGGAATGGTGTCCATGCTGGCGATGGTGACTTTGTTAACAGGATCTCTGGCCATGATTTGCAGAGCACCAGTGCAGCCCTCCACAATCTCCTCCATTCTCACTCCATCCTGAGAGAGAGAGAGAGAGAGAGAGAGAGAAAAGGACATTTCATTAATTCAGTGACAAAATAGCAGTCTGTACGTTGTATTCTGTGTGTAAGATTGGGAATTGTAGAGAATCGAACAATTCTTGTTTTGATTCCTCTCAATGGTTTTAGTTACTTCACAATTCTATTAATGATTTGTTTAGCACTTTTAAGGAATAATAGTATTATTATTTAAGAAACATAACAAAAAGTGTATCTTGAACTACATATAATCATATGAACAACTAGTCAGTATATATACTGATTGAAAGTATATATAAATATATACCGATTCAAACCTCATTCAGAGGTTGGTGAAAGCTGCACTACAAAGAACCAACTCAAAGAGTCCTTTGGACTACACTGTTGTCATATGTTGTTGATTCACTAAAAAAAGAACCGAATCATTAGAGTCATTCGTTCTGGAACTGCACTACACTGGTTGCACTACAGGTTATTGATTCACTAAAAACAACTGACTCGTTAGAGTAATACATTTTGATTCACCAAAAAGAAGGGTCATTCGTTCAGGAATTGTACTATGGTTTTTGTTCTACATGTTTTTGACAGGTGAGGAATTCATACCTGGTATGTTTGTTGAGCAGATGAACCGTGTTTCTGTGCATCTTGATGAGCTTTCGTAAGCAAAGTGACCAGTTTGGGAATGGCTTCGGCATCTCTCAAAGGAGCCTGATTGGCTGGACACAGCGCCAGGTTACGGATCAGACCAACCACAGCCTGTGATGAAGACAAACTCGGGGTCAGCAATGGTTATACTGCACAACAGGAGAACTACTAACTGAGACAGAGACCGCCTATGATATATCTATCATCCTGGGCCTTGCAAATTTAAGCAGTGGCCCTGTTACAAAATGAATAAACCTAGAAAATTACATGTTTTTGCACTCTGTGGATTATTAAAAGCGGTTTTACTCTACATATGGACCCTTCACGTAGGTCTCCAAAACAGTTAAACTGTTTTTTACTTTGCGTAATGCTTCACCCACACCAATAGGTGTCAGTATAAAGTCCAAAACCATTGTATAGCAAAATAAAAATAAATGTAAAAATCAAATAAAAAAAATTATTATCTTAATTTTTATGATAAAATACTATTTTTTTTTTCTAAAAAGTTTTACAAATGAATAAAAGGTTGTTAAAAAGGATACGTTTTTTCTTGGGTAGTTTACAAACCAACCGATTGCTCACTAATGGCGCTTTTCCACTGCATGGTACGACTCGGCTCGGCATGGTTTGCGTTTCCACTGCAGTTTAGTATCGCTTTAGTGTGGGCGGGATTATTCACATGTCGTTATAGTTGCGCCACCTCTACTACCACGACTCCTAAAAAAACGTTTTCATTCCGCGTCGCCCCATCAAGCTTTTGCTGGATCCGCTCCTCTGCTATCAACGAGAGGAACGTCTGTACTTCCAAAAACTTTTTGGTTGTTAAAAAAAGGTGCGCTTGTTCAAAACAGTTGCGTTCGATCCTTCGCTGGCTGTGCTGATTTAAATCTAGCGGTTCTTTTGTGTTTGTGTCGCAAGTTCAGTGACACAGGTAGTGACGATTCTCTCCGGCCAATCAGTGATCAGCAGAGTTTACACGTCACGTTTTGGTAACAGTACGGTTCACTTGGAACCTCAACCGAGGTGGTACTAAAAAAAGTACCAGGTACTGTACCCAGTGGAAAACCCCCAAAAAGTGAACCGTACTGAGCCGTACCGTGCCGTACCATGCAGTGGAAAAGCACCATAAGGCACTAATTTGTCAGTTTTGTCTGTTTTGTCTGTTTTTTTTTTCACTTACCTTTACGACTGGCCAGTAGTAGGGCTGATTGAGCAATTTGACGATAGCCGGGATGCCGTAATGCATTCGAACGGCATTCTGTGCGATCTCGGCCTCCGGGTGCCGGCTGGTCAGGTGACGCAGGGCGCAGACGGCTGGCTCGATCACGTCTTGTTTTGAAGCGGCCCTCAGGATGGTGTGAATCAGAGCCTCCACGCCGTTGCTCTGGGTCACCTGTGTTTTGTTGCGTGTGTTGTTGCAGGTGAGGTTGGACAGGATGCCTGTGGCGCAGGTGAGCATGTTGATGTCATCAGAGGACAGCAGGCCGTCCAGCACTTGGAGCAGATTTTCCATTCCGTCCTGCAGGGGGCGAGAGAGCGAGCATGTGTTGGCCTGACATATTATACATGCAAAGAATTTCCTGTTTTTTTTTTTTATTGCTCAAAAACCAAGAACAGTACACAAAAAAACAATACAACCATCAATACAAAACAAACAAACAATAACAACACAAAATAAAGTAAAAACAAATAAAGAAGAAGAAGAAAAAGTGTCTGCGTGAAAGACAGATGGTGTTAGATGTGTATAAACTGACCTGTTTGGTTGCAGCATCTGACAAGTTTCTCAAGGTCCACAGGCAGTTTTGCGTCAGACGCTGACTAGAGCCGCTCAGATGCTTACCAATAGCTTGCATTCCACCTGAGAGAGAGAAATTGTTAGATACACTTGTGATTAGCAGTGTTATTATAGTTAACTAAAACCATAAAAAAGTAAATAAAATAAATTTCAACAAAAAAAAATATTAAAAAACAAATATTTTAAATGTATTTAATGTATATATTTAAATATTTATTTAAAAAAAACATGTAATTAATAAAATACTTAAAACTTTATATTGCCAAAGGAATATTTCTCATTTTAATTTAGTTTACCTTGGAGTACCGAAATTACAAAATCAAAACTGAAATAAAAAAAAGTAAACCGTGTTATAAAAAATGACAAACACATCAAAAATTAAAATTAAAATGGAAAATACAATATATATACAATTAATTATTTAGCCTTTTTTGTTGCCCACCCTGCAAAAAACATAAGTTTGATTGAAAGCCACAAAATTTCAGCTCTCACTGATGTCTATAGTGGATTAGTATAATTAAAAGTACGTGTGATGGAAGCCTTAGCAAGCACAACTAATTAAACACACTAATTACTATATTTAGAAGAAGAGTTCAGTTTTCCAATTTGACTTACCGGCATCTACAATAGCGGGTTTGTTACTAGGACAGACTGAGAGCACTTTGAGCACACGGCTAGTGGTCCAGAGCAGCTTCTCATAGTTGTAGGTCCTCATGATGTTCACTAGACCCTCAGGGCCACCGTTAGCCAGGATAATGAGCTGAGAGACAATCACACTGATGTTAACACGACACACCATCACATTTCAATGAAAACTCTACACATTTGAACAAAGAACAAGAACACAAGAAACAGGAAATCAACAACTAATACATTTATTTGTAATTTGAAAATATAATAACAAGCACCTTGCTCTCCTGGTTGCCATAGGAAAGCAGCTGTAGGCAGTCTGTGGTGATGGCTAGAAACTTGTGGTTGCTTTTCTTCAGCAGGGGAACCATCCTCTGCAGACCGTCAGCCAGACGCACTGCCATCTTGGCTCCCTCCTGATGCAGAAGCAGATTGTGCAGGGTGGTGATGGCATAGAAAAGAACCGAATCCATCGGAGAGCTACAAAAGAAATGGGTTGGATGTTCAGATCAAGTGCAGATCAAGTGATTTATTGCTAATTTCCTAATAAATTAAGAATATCCTAATAATGTAAAAAAAACCATTGATGCACACATTTGCAATAAATCAAAAATATAATTTTTATCATCTTTCTAAATCATTTATTTATTTCAAGTAATAGCTTATCAAAAACAATTGTCATCATTTAATCCTTTTTTTGCAGCTTACTGAAGTATAAATGAAATCTCCATTTACTTCCAAATCAAGTGCTGGAGTAATTTCCTAATAATTAGGAACATCTATGTTTCAAATAATGTAAATAAAGCACTGAAGCACACATTGGCAATGAAATGCATCGAATCAAATAAGAGAAATCTGTTGTTATGAGCAATAAATTCATAAATTAATATAGCTTTAATTTAGGGTGACAAATACGACATGGAAGTCTTATGAATCGAGTTTTTATTTAATTTTTTTTAAAGTAATAGTTTACCCCATTTTGTCATTATGTTGTTTAAATGAGATTTCCTTTTTTATTTCATCAATAAAATGCAAAAGGAAATCTTAGGCAGAACATCTGAGCTTGGTATTAAAGAGTTTTTGACTGCTTTTTTTGCAGCTTACTGAAACATAAATCCCTGTCTAATTTCAAATCAAGTGCTATTAATAATTTCCTAATAATTAGGAATATCTATGTTTCAAATAATGTAAATAAAACACTAAATCACACATTTGCAATGAAAGGCTTGCAATCAAATGAAAGAAACATGTTGTTATGTGCAATAAGTGCATAAATTAACACAGCTTTAGTTTAGGGTGAAACATATACGACGTATGTGACCCTGGACCACAAAACCAGTCTTAAGTCGCTGGGGTATATTTTTAGCAATAGCCAAAAAAAACATT